GGGGGGGGGGGGTCTCTGCCATGAGCCCCCACAGGCCCCGATCACCAGTGCTGTAGCTGGGGAGTGTGGGGCTTTTCTTTCTTTTTTTTCTTTTATTTTTTTTAAGTGCTGGGATGCTGGGGCTGGGCGGGGCAGCCATGGGGGAGGGGCTGGGAGAGTGGAGGTGGGGGATGGGGCCAGGTGCGGGTTCCCCCATGGTCCCCTCCAACCCCCTGCCCCCTACTTAATAGCACAGAACTCGGGTCCAGCTTCCTGCAGTGGTGAGTGGGGACCGCCCGAATCTCCAAATCAATTAGGAGGCTTCCAATTCGATTCAGACCTTTTAATGGGTCTCCCAATTCTATTCGGATTCAGAGATTCGTCCCCCAAATCAGGCCAAATCTCCTCCAAATCAAATCGGCTACCAAAGCTTTGCACAGCCCTAAAGTTCAGCCCCCGCCAACCACTCCTGCAGGATGTAGCTCCCATGTGTGTAGTCAGTGCAACATGCAAATGGAGAAGACTACAACAAAACAATTCAATTTGGCAACTGATTGAAAAGTTTTCATACCATCACCTTTGTCTGCATGTCTAGGCATTCATGGCTTTGCCTGACCCTGCCCAGTGCTCCCTTAGAAAATGTGAGAGATTTTGGCTGTAATTTATCTTAGTCAAAGGAGTGCTCTGGCTCCCCCATGTGTAAGAGAGTCCTGTTCTCTCATAAGCAGTTGAAACTGAGATTTGTATTTCTTCATTTCTTATCTAATGATCTTCTGATTTCCCCTCTACAAATGTTTAGGGTGATAAGGAGAAAAGTGGCTTCACCTTTTCCTTTTTCCAAAACCACCAGAAGCAGCACACCTCCTTTGTCTTGCTTTCCTAGAACTAGGTGAATGATATCCACAGAAACTGAAATGTGTGCAGGGAACATAATTTAAAAGTATAAATCTGTATGATCGACTCTCATGGAGTCTATATGCAGTAACCATACAGTGAATAAACTTGTATTACTATTCAAGATTTGTTGTCCTTAAATAAGTGTGTCAGGAGTGTTCCAAAAGTAATTTTAATCAACTACATTTCTCAGTTTATATTTAGTCTTTTCATAGAATTATAGAAGGGACCTCAGGAGGTCATCTAGTCCAACCCCCTGCTCAAAACAGGACCATCTTCAACTAGATCACTGCAGCCAAAGCTTTGTCTAGCTGGGTTTTGAACACCTCCAAGGATGGAGCTTCTACCACCTCTCTGGGTAACCCATTCCAGTATTTACTACCCTCCTAGTGAGAAAATTCTTCCTAATATCTAACTTAAACTTCCCTTGCTGCAACTTGAGACCATTTCTCCTTGTTCTGTCATCTGCCACCACTGAGAATAGTCTAGCTCCATCCTCTTTCAACCGCCCCTTCAGGTAGCTGAAGGCTGCTATTAAATCCCCTCTGTCTCCTCTTCTCTAGACTAATAAGCCCAGTTACCTCAGCCTGTCCTCATAAGTCATGTCCCCCAGCCCCCTCACCATTTTTGTTGCCTTCCTCTGGACTCTCTCCAGTTTGTCCACATCCTTTCTGTAGTAGGGGGCCCACAACTGGACACAGTACTCCAGATGTGGCCTCACCAGTGCTGAACAGAGGGGAAGAATCACTTCCCTTTACCTACTGGTAACATACCTGCCAATGTAGCCCAGCGTGCTGTTAGCCACCTTGGCAACAAGGGCACACTGCTGACTTTATTGAAGCAGAAACATTTTGGTTTCTGGTATGAGGTTTTTAAAAATGGTTAAGAAAATGGTTTTAGTATGAAACAGATATAGAATAACTTGTATTCCTCAACAATATAATTATTTAAATCTTTGACAATCAGTAATATGCTACTGAAGTATCTTCCTCCCCTGCCCCCCGGAAGAGCTTGGCCAAACCTTCAACATGAAAATGATCCAAATCAAAAAGCATATTCCTTTTTATGGCCAGAATGACAATATCTTGCAACTATGTGGCCCCTTTCTAAATGTTGAATCAAAATACTGTCTACCAAACAAAATACTCATATTTCTTTAACTATTTGTATTGAATGCTGTCCAAGTATAAAAAGGAATGCTAGGTAGACTTGATTAGCAGGAATCTTGAAAAAATTAGGGATTAGGTAGATCACTTCTTTCTTCCCCCCCCCCCCCCCCACCCCCAATTTATGGTATAAATACCTCTGTTCTAGATGGCTTCCCCTGTAAAACTTTCTATATGTGATTGGCTTCTGCAAAGCAGAGCATGATCAGGAAATGAAGCATTTTCCCCCTTGGCTAGTTTTGATGAAATCTCTCCAACTTGCACATTGTGTCTGAGCATTTCTTCATTCATAGCATGTGCCCATCATAAACTGTTTTCTGTTTGAAGCATTTCAGCTGTACTATTTATAACCTAGTTGAACAATGCCAACTAGAGGCAGTAAAAGGTGTGTATTTCATATGCAAATTGCTAGCAATAATTTGGTACAATTACACTTAGTTGCTTGCATCATTATGTTCAGCACCAGCATAAAAACACTGGGTGTAGTGGGAGAACATTATCAAAATTATTTTCTGTCTGCATCAGTGAGTTTTATCCAACTAATGAAACAACTTTTCTGTTGTATGAGGTGGAGTTTTTTGAGGGGGGGAGGTTTATAGACGAGTAGAAACTAAATGAGTTACATTTTCTAAAATGAATAAATACAAATGCATAGTCCAGCACTCTGGCACACTCTATCCTTTGTAGAATATGGGTGCACGCACATGCACTGTGCAGCTTCAGTGAACTATACTTTTCAGGAAGTTCTGAACCATTAAGAAGCGGGATCTAAAGTAGAATATCTTAACAAATGTGTTGCTATTCATGTTTAAAATGTAGAGAGGATTGGAAATATTTTTGACAAACTGCTGTTAAAAATGTTTTTTTCTAATCGGGCATACAGTAGTTATCGTAGAGAGCACTATATTACAGATTGGTCAAGTTGTCAGTTTTAAGTCCTTTTCACTGTTTATAGCTGTTAGAAGAATGTGCTTGAAATTCAACTTTTTCCTTTACCTTTTTTAAATATGAGGTTATGAACATTATATTACTATTTTGCTTATTGTAGTACCTAGAAGTCTTACAGCATACATAGACATTTGCTGTCCCAGGAGAGACTTTCCTGGGAGTGATTTAACCCCAGGTTGTTCCCAGGTCATTTTTCTCCTGGAGCAGCCATTTTTACTTTGGGAGAAAAAACCTGAACATCTGCACACTTGGGGCGCATTCATGCGAGTGTGCATGTGCATCCTAGTGTCGCAAAGCCCTTTGAGATGCTACAAGAGGCACATGCAGGAACAAAAAAAGGGGTTAAAAAAAAAAACCACTCCACAGAACAGTGGGGCAAAGCATGGTCCTGGATTGTGCCTGGAGGCAACCTGGGAGTCAGTCCTCCAGGAGAGATGCTCTGGTTTCTGTCCAGAGCATCTCTGTGGTGCTCCTGCTGCCCCTGGTGCTGTCAAGGGTAAGTCAGGGATGTGGGGTGGGGGGGTTTATAGGTGTGGTTGGGTGTGAGGAGTGGCAGGGGACTGTTGGGGAGGGGGGTGTCAGGAGTGGAGGGAGTTGTTGGGGGCTATGGGAAGTGGCGGGGCCAGGTCCATTCAGCATCTGAAAGATTATATGAGGCAGTTGTCTTCAACAGTAGAAGGCTGCCCATCATTCAGTGACCCGGAACATCCCCTCTAGCCCTGTGTTCTAGGTAAGAAAAGATGGTTCCTAACAAAAGGAATTTGTATTACAAGTTTGTTTTTTTTTCTTCTGGAAGATTTGTGTGCTTTTTGTTTCACTATATATAAAGTCAACTCTTCAACTCAGTTTACCAGAATAAATTTCTTGAAAAAGGAAGCTGTAGTGTTAAATGTTTAAACTTGTAAACATAAATGTTTGCTGAATTAGTATGAAACTGTATTACGAGACTGAGAAGATCTTGCTTCAAAATTATATACATTGCATGTCCTAAAAGAGAAGTGTGGGTTCTGTTTCTTCCCTATCATTGACTTCATCCCTCTTACGTCAAGCTTCATCATGTTATGGACCTTTCTGCCGCCTGGTAATCAAACCCCAAAAACAGACTCTGTTTTACATTGCAACTAGTTCCTTCATGCTATAAATATTTGCAGTTGTATATTTTGCACTGGTCTGCCCTTAAACTTCAGCAGAACATTGTTTCTGCCATAACTGTGGGAAAAATAAAATGCTATCATTGTATATGTATTCTCCCACAGTCTGTGTACTATTGCCCTCACCTGGATGAAATTTCAGACCTGTTCAAGGGTTTACAACTGCTAAAGGAAGACAATCAGTCTTACCACTACTGTAATAATTTTACAGGCTATTAATCAAAGTACTTCTAAATTATTTTAAAAAGTGACCTGGCTCTTTTCAGGAGCATAATTCACTACAGTGTGGAAAACATAGTTTGAGAATGTCACTTGCTGCTTTAGACTAGAATATTAGTTATAGGCATGTCTTTGTGCTGTGTGGGTAGAATGTGGAATGAAATGCTCAAGTCTAAAGAAGAAAAAAAAATACAATTTTCAATTGCTGGAAGATCTGAACATTTTTTGTGGCAAAGGGCTATAGAGGATATAGTTACCAGTGTTGTATTTCTTGCATGATTTTAAACCACAGAACTTTTTATGGAGCAAATGTTCTTTTGGCCATTCATGAAGTTGATTTTTCTAGATACTATGCTGACTATGATTTCAAATGAGCATTATTGCATTTTATAACAAAGTTACAGAGTAGCATAAGTTACAGGGCCTGTAACAGGAATTTTTTTGGCTGAACCAACATATAATAAAGAGGACTTCAATTTTCATTGCCAAAAATGAAAGGAGGCCTTTATTTCCAAACTTTAAATTGCTTGGGTTTGCCACTGTTATTG